TTTGATGTAGCAAACACCTTCTTCCAGAGTTGCATTTAGTTTACCAACTCAAGGAAATGTACTCTTAAATCTTATTTTTTTTCCTCTTTTTCTTTGGAGATTTTCTTCGGAATGTCTACAAAAAAAGAGAAGGTCTACAAAAATAACTGCTGAGATATTTCTTATTTCCCCAACTTAGGTCTAAGAGTACATTTCCATGGCTCTTCAATTACTCTTAATTCTTTTATTTTTTAAAAGTCAAGGTGTGCAAAACATTTTAATCAGAACTAGAATCCTAGTTTGGATGTGGCCATTTAGGTCAAGGCAAGCCATCTCTTTGGCGAAAGATTTCAAATTAAAGCATCCCTGGTAGACGGTTGGAAGGACAGCTTATCTCTGTTCTATCAAATTGTTTTTACTTTTGTAAGTGGAATTTGTCTTCTTATTGTTTAAATCCCTAACTCCATGTCCTGGACTCTGAAATAATGGAGAACACCAGTTGATCTTCTACTGTGTATCAGCCATTCAAGTATTTGAAGAATGCGTTCCTATTTCCCAACTCAGTCTCCTCAAGGCTAAGCTGTCTAAATTTCATCAATTTATCTTCATAGGTCTTAATTTGTAGTCCTATGGTCTTCCTTACAGCTCATTTCTGAATCTGTTCCAATTTATCTAAACCTTCAAATGGGATGCTGAGAACCTGACACAATATTCAAATAAAGTTCATTAAACACAAAATGAAATACTAAACCAAGGAAAAACAAATACATAAAAACCTGCACACCAACACGTTCCAGCATAAATGAGATGTATGAATTATATTGAAATAGTTTTTCAGTGCCAGATGTAAAGTATATATTCAGAGATACTGAAATATCTTTTTACAATTTCTAGTTCCATGACAATGCTACACTGGACTTGTGCAATTCAAGACTTGGGGTGGGGAGGTATGTATGGTTTGAAAAACCATTTTTGTATAACAGAATAAATTATGCTTTTCTTAGGACAGGTTGAAATGTTATTTCCTGTATTTATTGGGATAGTGGACCAACAGTATACCTGGGAAAGATGTAACTATCAAATCTTTGTTTAAATATGTGTTGCTTGCATGTTAAATATCATAAATACATCCATCAGTTTGTTTTAAAATTTACTCAAGTATAAATGATACTGAATATCCTTAATTTTATGTATACTCTTTATTGCATATTGTTGTTTTTCTTTAAAAAATGTACAGTCTTGTAACATACACATCATTTCCTGCTAGCTAAAAACATCTGTGTATCTAAGATCCACTACATGGTTTGCTACCCCTAATCTACTTAGTTTACAAACTATCACTTTTTTCCTCTCTCTTTTTTGGCATTATTTGTTTTTAATTACACACCCAGGAGCAATGCAAAGAGGAAAATTAGAATGAAAATAGAGTGGCTACTTCCACCAGCACCAGTCAAAAAATGCAATTTACAACAAATGGCACATGGTTATACCTGTACATTTATTTAAGAAAACAAACAAGAACAAAAAAAACCCTCTCACACAAGCACAAAGAATTGGAAATGCAGCCTCCCAAATAAGGCTTGTTGCAGATCAAGTTTGATTTGGAAGCACAAGGAATGCTTTTCACCAGATCCTTGCTTCCTTTGCTTTGTAATCTGTGCAATAAGAGGTTGCAAGAAATCCAGGGAGATCCATTAATCCATTCTACAAACAGAAACCAATTTCCCCTTGAAGATATTTTAACATTGCTAACAGCACAACACAAATCAGTCAGTTGTCTCAATTTGATACTTGATGCACTAAATGCCAAAGAACATTTTGGGGGTGGTGTGGAGTGGGTAGGGGCAAAATCCTACATGTGATGTGCTTGACCAATGAACCCAGATTTATTCTGGATCCAAATAAAACTTTGTGTTTCTTTTGACTGGTCTTGAACAGAGCAGCAATGAGTATTACAGGGTTTTCAAGCCCTAGAAGTGAAATTGCTCTGTTTGTTTAAAGAAGTATTTTCCTGACTTGGTAACTTTAAGATGTATGGGCTTCAGTTCCCAGAATTTGTCAGCCAACTATGGGAGTTGAAGTCCACATATCTTAAAGTGGCCAAGGCTGAGAGCTTTAAGGGCTTCCACTTTAATTTGCACTGAATTTCACTTTCACCTTCTGACTAATCCCGCTCTCACTTACAGTAGGATGATTAAACACGGGTAAGCTGATAAGCACTCTCCCAAAACATGTGTGTCTATACATGCACACAAACCTCCCTGCTGAAAAATTATCTAAATAATTTTCCAGCTTGTAGTGTATTTCTGGATACCTCCACTGGAAAATTCAAGCACTGCCTCAGCAGTGTTAATCTGCACAATGCGTATCTGTAGGTGCCCTGGATCATTGGCGACATCTGTGCTGGGATGGGTGACAGTCATATACGCTTGCATTACGTCTACTTCATGTAAATGGCTTTCTGATGGGAATGTGAATCGGTCCTGGGGGGGTGGAGGTGGGGGCTGGAAATAAGGGTATTCACTGTTCAGCAAGACTCTTTCTATGGTCAAAGAAAGGTGCTGAATTCTTAAATGCCTACTGGATTGCAAGGCTGGTCTTTATGAGGAGACTGAACGTCACAGCACTTTTCTGCTCCTTTTATATGCAAAATATGCTGGCTTTGCTTTTATTCACTTTTCATTTTAATGCACCCTCTGATCTATCTGAGCTCTTTCTCATCATCATCATCAACGCCCTAAAATCATATCTAACCCAATTTCTTCCATCTATAAATACAATATATATATATATAAAAGAGAGGCACTTTAGTTTAAGTAACAGTTATGACCAACTTGGATGCTTTCTCCTGGAGCAAAGCTTTTGCTCATCTGCTCTCTGCAAGGACTCAGAAAATCAGCATTCTCACTCTTACTGTTTTGCAAGGTATTTGACGAGCCATCCAGGTGTAGAGTTTATTGAAAAAGGCTGCAGTTAAGAAAAATGACATTTCAAAAAGAAAAAGAAATACATGCACGTGCCTACATACACACACGCACAAACAGATCTCTCTGACAGCTCTCTGTGGTGTGATCTTCACAGCTTTCAGATTGCAAAAGGATCTGGGGATCCCGGCAACAAGAACTGTATATTGTACAAACTAGTTTTTATACAAAACCACACATTTGTTTTACAGTTCACATGAGGAAAAGTGCTATTCCAATTCCCCAACCAGTTAGCATCTTTTACTAGTCCCTCCCCACCCACCCCCAAAAGTTTCAAACAGCATTAACTATCTAGTGCAAGGACAAAAAAAAATAAAAATAAACAAATCCCTGTTCAATTTCAGGTAACAATACGAGGATGGTAAAAAAAAGCCACACGAGAAATCCCACAAATAAATAAAAGAGGGGAAAAAAAAGCAAAAAGTAACAGTCTTCAATATTCTCTATAAGATTAAGCCACGCTATAAAAAAATTGGCATTTTAAAAACATTTTTCCAATTTCTTTGTATTACTATTGTTTTTAAATTATTAATTACTCCCTGAGCAATCTGATGTTTTTTTTGTTTTTTTGTGTTTTTTTTTAGGTTTTGGATTGATATCTTTATAGGTAGCTCTGCTTAACACTTCTGCAAGAAAAACAGGAATAGCAATATAATTTTGAGGGGGGGGGGGCTTCCTGCTGTTTTGCATGATACATTTGGTCCTTAAATCTCTCTCCTCAGCTCTGGACTTCATCAATGCCTTTGACCAAACTTTGAAATAAGGGTAAACTTTGAAATAAGTTTTACCTATGCTTGTTCTACAAAGGCCTCTGTGTGCTGCCAATCAACCCAAGGCCATGGGATCATCAGGAGAGGACATTAAACTCGCTGCTTAGTAAGAACCACCTTTATTTTTATGGCAGCAGTTCTCAGTTAAAACTCTAAAAAAAACCGAGGCACTACATTCACTTGGTCCGCTCCTGGTACTGCTTGACCAAAAAACCTAGCTCTGAAGACTTTGGTGGGCATGTGTGGAGGATTACATATAGTGCCAATATCTGCAGGTATGCTCCAATCCCCCCCCCCCCCAAGGTTCTTCTGGAATCACTGCTGATTCGACAACTGTTACAAAACGGAACTGGCCCAGAGTAATTTCTGACCTACATTTACAGAGAATATAGTTTGTCTTGTTGGACAGGGAATCAAAACAAAACAGAATGAACACATAGATTCTTGGATCCATTTTTTTCAAAAAGAGAGAGCACCCCCCCCCCTCCCCAATTCCCATTGGTCTTCAATAAGAAAACAAATTAATTCTATAGGTGCATTATTACAGTAATGAAAAGCTCCCCAAGGAGTCCAAAAGTGCTGGGAAGGAATGAAAAAGAGAGTTTAGGGAGTAAAGGGAGCCAGCACAAGAATTACAAGGGATGTTCAAGTTTTAGGTAATAACAGACGCTGAAGATAGATTTTTCCGAGCAATACAGTTCAGGCTGAACAAAAAGAGTTTCTAATGGACTTTTTGCCACGGTACTCCCAGCAGTGATGAGTCAGTCAAGGTGGGTCCATCCAGGTCAAGACGATCTCAGGTCATCCTGCATGACTCTCTTCCTATTTTCCCCTCAATATCGGCATCAAGGACCCCAATTAAGCTGAGGTAAATGTTACTATTCCGCCTCCCTCATTTCCCCCTGGGTGTTTCTGCCTCTTATCAGTCTCCCTCTCCAATGTTTGTGCTTTTGAAATGGAGAAGCTGTGTGTGGAATGCCACTATAATTGATAGGAAAGAGAACATTCGTTAAAGCAGTAGCAATCATGCGTGCTTACAAATGTGTCCACGCATACACACACCCTTCTGGTCTCCAACCACCCAAAGATTTGTATATACAGCACATATACACACACATGCTTCCTTCAACACCCGCTCACGCAGACATGCAGGGTGGGGGAGAGGAAAGATGCCACTGTGTGACCACCAAGGCAGAAGGCAAAAAAGACCAGGATTTACCAGATTATTGGTCAGGTTTTTTTTCCCCCTAACACTCTAAAAAAGTGAAGATGATGTTCAAAAGTTGAGTTTTGTGATGGGTCTTTCACGGCTCCCGTCTGCCAGCTGATTCGTAATGCGTTTGCGATTGCGCTTCAATTTAGAAAGGTCTTTGTCAAAAACTTCTCCAGACCTTAAGGCGGAGACCAGGTCATCAAACTCCCCACCTTCTTCACTATTTTCTTTTGCCTTCCTAGCCTTGCGCTCTCTCTCTCGCTGCTCCTTGAGCTGGAAGAGAAAAAAAAAAGAGTCTTAATTTCCACTTTGCAGCTATTGAAAATCCTGAGAACAAGCTGCATGTGGTCTCACACGTGTGTGTGAAAAACAGTTCAGCTAGTGAAAGTCTGCATGTTCCAATGCAGTAATGAGGTGCACTCAGTTCTATCTGGAAATATAAATGTGTTCTCAGAAAGCCCTTGCTTCAAATCCAGGATGAGTGGTCACTCTCTGGGCCTGCTGAGAAAAAAAGCTCACAGTGCACAACACTTCACATGTGGAACTGTGATTGAAAACAAGTGTTGGAGCAGAATGGTGATGTCGGAGGGAAGGCACTTGGTTACAGATTCACAGACCAGGAGGCCCATTAGAGCAGTGTTTCTCAACCTTGGCAACTTTACGATGTGTGGACTTCAACTCCCAGAATTCTCCAGCTAGTGTTGCTAGCTGGAGAATTTTGGGAGTTGAAGTCCACACATCGTAAAGTTGCCAAGGTTGAGAAACACTGCATTAGAGCAAGCTAAAGTCAGTGGAAGATCCCACATACATGCAGAGGGCTTCAGCCAGGGGTAGGCAACCTTGGCTCTTTTATGACTCAGGAATTCTGGGAGTTGAAGTCCACGAGTCATAAAAGAGCCAAGGTTGCCTACCCCTGGCCTAAGCAAAGAAAGCCCCCATGACTCCGAATCAAAAGTGGCAAAGGTAATTTTTTTGCTGGAAGCTTTGGGTGCTCCTGCTAGTCAGAACAGGTTAATGTTTATAATGCTCCGACTCTACAGGAGGCCAGGCTCTTACTTTCATATAGGAAACAAATTAAAATATGCTCTAGAGAACAATAGATCAACTATCCGTGCTAGAATTGCTGTGTTATTACAGATGTTTTCTGTAATCTGATGTTGTCTGGATGCCACACAATGCATCTTCTGCTGGCAAAGAGAGCTGAAACTCAACACTCTTGGAAGATACTAACTTGGGGAAGACTAGGCAACTGGATGTAGAAGTTCTTTTTGTAGTACCTGAGCTTCCATGCGTGCCCGTCGCTCTTCTTCTTCCTTCCTCTTCCTCATGTTTTCATTTTCTTGTTTCGCCTCATTTACAGCTTGAAGGAACTGGTCAAAAATTCCAAAGAACTCATCTGGTTGTGTTTTGCCAGAATCTTCTCCAAAATGCTTCACTGCCTTGAAAAACTAAAGGAAGAAACTAGTAAACTTATTGAAAATTCTCCCAGATTTATCCTTTTTCAGTCTAAGAAAACATCGGTTTAAATACAGGATCATAGTTCCAAGCTTAATTCTCTTTCATATTTTCCTTCAGACAAGGCCATGCACAGTAGAAACTGTGAAAAATTAATCCATTATGGCAAGTCTGGGATCCACAATCTTTGGGAACTCAAGGAATATGTGTGGCATTTTGTTATCAGGTTGTGAGCTGATATTGTCGTAAGTATAGATAATAATGAAACACTAGCTTAGAAGAGGTGAATTGCTACTCTGTCTAGTCTCTGTCCCCCCAAACAATTCTGATCTTATTTTTAACATTTTGGAAGCTGGGAGAGGATACATATAAACAAACACTGAGTTGTCGCCTCCTCCTTATTTTTATTTTGTAAGCATATCTATTGGCCTTAAGCAAAATTTAAGGTCCTTCTGGAAATAAAGATGATCCTGGATCTAATTATTTTGGAAGAAAAAATAATGTAAATAAAATTCCCACGGTTTGAGTGTGGTGTTCTTGCACATATTTAGGTTGGAAGGGGTCAAGGGCTGCATCTGAATGTTGCATCTTTCACTGTACAATCTGAACAAGCTTCGGCAGTCTGCAGCTTCCTATCTTTCTATTAAACCCTATTTGCAGTGGTGCTACTAGTACATTCTAGGAGAGAATCCTGCCCTTAAGAAAGTTTTGGACAAACTCAAAAAACTACCTTCTGAAGTCACACATTCACAATAGGACAAGGTTGCTTTATGGTCCAAGTCACCATCTCTTCCCCTCCTTTCAAACTCTGGCATCTTCACGTACTTGAACCCACCATGTCCTCACCAACTTACCCTTCCTTGGTCAAAGTCTGGGTAATGTGTCTCTTCTGTAATGAATTATTCATACCATTTTGGAATTGTCAAGAAGCTGCACCTCTGTTTTTGTTTTATGTCCGTTATTGTCAAGTTTCCACCACTCCCTCTTTTATTAACTCAGGGGCAATAAAACCAGAATTCGATATCAAAGATATGAACCTCAAATACATGGACAGGGAAAGTGAAAACTTGTACTTTCAACTTTGCTTTGAAGATTCATTCCTATTTGCTATTTATTATTGCCACATGCTTCAGTATTGGAACCAAATGTGCTAGGAAAGTTTTGGAAAAGACATTTACCCTCCCCTGCTTGGCTTTTTTTTTTTTTGAAGTAAACTGAATTTGCTTAACAAGAAACTTTTCAGCCCACAGGAATGAACACTCACCCCTACAAGTTTACCTGGAAATGGTAAGTATTACATTGACTACCAATAGGCTTGTGGGTACAATTTGAAATGCAGTTTGTAATCTATGAAATTCTTTAGGGTTTGGCAACTAGGTAGCTATAGATCATATATGCCAATGTATCCATCTGATACATTGGCTCACATGAAGAGAACAGAGAGCCCATTATAGCAACAAGATTATCCTGCTATGTCCTACTCCATGGAACCAGATGTCCACTTTACATCCTCCTTTATAGTTTTCTGAAGGAGAATCAAGATGGAGATCTTCCACAGAGCTTTTGATTGTTGAAGAGTGTTATAGTTGCTCTATTTTGTTTGGGATGGGGTTGCTTGGAAGGGGGTTGTTTGATTTGATTTGATATGGTTGTATGATGATGGGGCTCTCTACAAAGTCAGTAATAAAGAAATACCAAATATATATGTTGGGTATGAATAATGAAGGACACCTGCTTTGAAATTTGGGGACTAAAAATGCTTTTGAGATTTTTTAAGAAAAAAGACTTGAAAAGCTTGCAATATAAGTTTGGATTTAAAAAGCTGGAAGATGGCATCAACGACATCTAGTGGTGAACCACGGTGCTACAATCTATTATGCTTAAAAGAAACTTGGCTTGAAGCCCAGACTCAGATAAGACTTTTGTTGTCCTTGGAAACTTTCACTTTTGAAGACTGCAGCTGGGAAAAGGGGAAAAAAACCCCCTCTTGGGCTGCTTATCTATCTGGCAGAGACGATAAACTATTTTGAAACTGACCTGCCTGGATCACGAATACAAATACTAACTGACTTTTAGAGCTGTGTCGTGGAGCTATTTCCCTGTAGAAGAAATATGCATTACTGATTGAGATGATGGAATATTTTGGATTATAAACTTTTGATTGATGAACAACTTTTAATTGCTTTTTTTTCTCTGGACAGAAAGGATATGTTTGTCATTGGACAGAAAAACTTGAATTTTGCTTATATTTGTTTAGGGGAGGCTTAAGGACGGACTGATAGGCTGGCTCGATAATTTGGAGTTCAAATGACAATTGACTGAAACTTTTTAAATCCCTAAATAGATTGGACTATAAAGACCACATACAAAAACAAAAGTATGTTCCATACTTAGCCTTAAATGGTAAAAAAAACATCCCTAACACTTGTCTTCAAAGCCCCCAGCTTGACATACCAACAAGAAAATGTTGATGATTCTCAGAAATAAATTCTTTCTATGTTGAAATCAATACAAGAGACAATTGCCTTAGCTCATGATGAGACTAAAAATAATGCAAAGGAGATAAAACAACAATTTTCTAATCTAAACCTACAAATTCAGAAAATGATTACAAAGAAGGAACTAGTAACACAGAAAATAGAAGGAAAATTAGAGGAAGTGGATCCAAAGATGGAGGACCTAAAGGAAGGAAGCAACAGACAGACTCAGACAAATGAAGAATTAGAAGACGTAGCGATAATACCGGAAATGGAAAAGATATCTTACTTGTTAAGATCTCAGATTTGAGGATAAGGAAGAAGAGCTGATCGAACAGAAGATAAAGCTATTAGGAGAACTGTGGAAAATTGGAGAAGGAGGGAGGCTGTTTAATGAATATAAATGGGTTGAGCGTTCTTCCAAAAATATTTTAATCAAATTGTCTTTCTTATTCCAAACAATATACACAAAAATAGAGGAAGAACTACTTGATGATTCAAATGCATTGACTTGGAAAGTTAGTTGGCAAAGGAAGAAAGCTAGAGTAAGACTGAAAAAAAAAATAGAGATTTTGACGCATTAGATGGGATATTTTATTAAATATATGTCTGAGCATGGCTAAGAGAATAGATAATTGTTAGAAATAAAAGTATTATTATAACTAGAAAGATAGGATCTGCAACTAGAATATTATATTTTGGTATGAGAAGGGAAATATGAAAATGCTAAGAGGGTCTGAATAAGGGAAGCTTTTGGTTACCCAAATATAATTTATTATGAGAAAATTATAAGCGATAGAGATACTTTGAACATTGATGGGAAATCAAAATTTTATAAAAGTGGGAAAAACAGGATATTGATTGAACAAATGGATTTTAAGTGCAAATGCAATTGAGATAAGTTTTGGTTAGAAAAGATATTTTAAACTGACACTACTGATATTATGTATAATATTATAAAAATATGATAGAGATGTTGATATTTAATTGTATATGTATTAACAGCAATAAGAATTGTATTTGCCTAGTGTGGAAAAATGTATACCACCGGAAGAAGAGAGGAAGCACTGAATGGTGTAGTATTGGATCTAGATTAAGGAAGTTAATATGTACCACTGAATTACTAATGGACCCAGACAACATGCTGTTTGTTAAGTACTTGCAAAACTAGAAAATTAATAAAATATTTATATATATATTAAAAAAATTCTCCAGTGTTGGAGCACCCACAACTTCTGGAGGTAAGTTATTGACTGACAGCTTCTTCTCTTTCTCTCTCTTACCAACCATATTCTTTAATTGACTTGTCTGCAATTAGAACTTGGTTCTGATGGACAAAATGTAGAGGGACTCCTTGCAGAGTTCCTTAATTAGAATGCATCTTCATGCATTAGCAACTACTGAGCCATAGAGATGGAGAACTCTAATAAACAGACTCATGGGATAGGCAAAATCTAAGACCCTAAGCCTAATGGTATAGTTATGGTCCTTCTAAAATTATTTAATTTTATAATTTAATATGACAGAAAAAGATTAAATCCATGAGAACTAGGTACTTTAATTGCAGCTTCTGGGTTGGCTTTACCCATCTTTGCCACCCTTAGGTCCAAAACGTCTCTCATTTGAAAAGAGTTTGTAAAGCCTGGTCTATACCGAGAGGAGCTTTGGGAGAGAAAGGTCCCAGACCCAAGGTGTGCCTTCAGACCATTCATATCTTCTCAACTTCAGTTAAACTGATTATATAAAAGAGAAATACATTGAACAATGATCAAAATTCAAGGCATAGCATCAAAAAGAACCCATAAAGTTCTGGATTAGCCGAGATCTATAATAAGGATTTACGAAGTTTGGATCTGAAGGAGATGAGAGAGTGCTTTGCATCCAGTGTGAGTATCATCTCTGTATCTATCAGTTGCAGTCTGTATCAGATCGGATGCTGCATATGTCTAACCTGTAATAATTATTTCTTACCAGTTCTTTGGCTTCTGCCAGAAGATCTTCCACGTCTGAGAAGCTGAAGCTTGCCAAAGTGATGAATTGGCTAACCACAGAAACAAACTTGTCCTCTGGATTGGAATGCTGCAATTTTTGGTATTCCAGTTCCTTTAGAGAAACAATTTCATGTTACTCTGGACCGAAGTAATCATAATCCCAGATAATGATTGAAATTTAGAAATCCCAAAACAGCTCATGTCCAAGACCCCCAATGTACACTCCATGAGAATTATTTCTGATGATGTAATATGAAAAATGCATAAATACTGCACTCATGTGGGAAACAGGCTGTTCAGTTGGGTTAGCCAGCCAAATAAATTATCTGTCTTCCCAGTAGCTTTTAGTTGAACAAATCCCGGCTGACACTAACTATGGATAAGATTGGCCGAATATTGTGGTTCTGGATAAGTGTTAAGGAACTGAATGCAAGGAGCTATGGAGGGAGAACTCTCCAGTTCTTCATTTTTGTTAAGCATATTTCATCTTTCATCTGTCTGTTAAATAAAAAGCAACAAAGCAGGAAATATACAACATATCCAACACATCTTCTTCCTCCTTTTCCCCCACAACTGCAACCCTGTGAGATATGTTGGCCTGAAAGTAACTTTGCCAGTCCAAAGTCACCCAGCAGGTTTTTATGGCTAAGGCGGGACTTAAAGTCACAATCTCCTGCTTTCTAGCCTGATGCCTTAACCACTAGACCAAACTGGCAAAGCATTTCCTTTACAAGCAGTTTAAATTATAGCACAAAGGTCAACTATCAGATTGACTCTATAAAAATAAACCTGGCTAATAAAAAGCTCTCTGAGAAATTAGGGCATGATGGGACCCCTTTCAAAGGGAGATATTCCATAGAACTGATGCCACTATGAAGAAGCCTCTGATCCTGGTGGGTGGACACTGACAGAGGCTAGCAAAGCCTTGGAGGTTGTGCAATTATATTGATAAGACATATATAAGAAAGGCAATGTTATTTTGAGAAGAATGACAGCATCTTCTGCCTTGGAATTCCTTATTTACCAATGTGTTAGTGCCTTTGTGCAGCTGGATATTCATTCTGCTATAAATACAACCATGTATGTATCTCCTATTCAAGTAGAGGGATAAGAGCTTCAAAATGCATTGTCTCATGATCAGGCTCACACTGCAAGTGGGGGCCAATCTAAACTCTTATCAGGAAATAAAGTCAAAGCCTAAACTGTCCATCTGTTGAGCCAATCAGAGGGTCAAAAGTCCGTATAACATAATCTTTATAGTACATTAATGATCATCATTATGTTTAATGAATCATCATGTTTAATGAATATCAACGGGCCAATTCTTCCAAAAATACTTTAACTAAATTGCTTTTCTTGACTCAAATAATATATACAAAAATAGAGGAAGAATTATTTGACGATCCAAATGCATTGACTTGGAAAGTTAGCTGGCAAAGGAAGAAAGCTAGAGTAAGACTAAAAGAAACAGAAGCTTTGACTTGTTAGAGGGGATGTTACATTATCAATTAGATGTTTGAATACGGTTAAGAATAGATTGCTAGAAATAGAAGTATTATTATAATTAGATAGATAGGATTTGTAATCAGAATATCATATCTTGGTATGAAAAGGGAAATAAGAACATGTTAAGAATTTTGAATAGGGGAAACTTTTGGTTACCCAAATATAACTTGTTTTGAAATTATAAATGATTGGGATATTTTGAACTTGGACGGGGAATTAAAATTGTAAAAAGCGAAAATAGGGTATATACTGAATAAATTGATATTGAATGCAAATGCAATTAAGATATGTTTTGGTTAGAAAAGATATTTTAAACTGATATTATTGACACTTTTAGAAAAATATAATAAATGTTGACAGGCAATTTTATATTTACTTACAATAGTAAGAACTGTATTTGCTTAGTGTGGAAAAATGTTTTTTACTAGAAGGGAATTAGAATTGAAAAAAGCAAAAATAGGATATAGACTGAATAAATGGATATTGAATGCAAACACAATTGAGATATGTTTTGGTTAGAAAAGATATTGTAAACTGATATTATTGACACCTTTAGAAAAATATAACAAATGTTGATAGGCAATTGTATATTTACTTACAACAATAAGAACTGTATTTGCTTAGTGTGGAAAAATGTCTATTACCAGAAGAGAGGATGTACTGAAGGGTGTAATATTGGATTACGTTTGAAGAAGCATACATGTACCACGGAATTACTAATGGACTCAGTCATCACGTTTAATTAGGCACTTGATTGTAAAAATAGAAAATTAATAAAATATTTATAAAAAAATGATCATCATTATTCTGTGAACTTGTTTTTCCATATGAAATTTTGGCTTTTCTGTTTCATTCATGAGTCCATCATTCAGTGATATGCTAATAAATGTATAATAAAAGCCAGCTCTGCAAAGTCTATTGCCCAGTGTTGCTAGCTGCCAAACCGCTGACTGGTATGCTAGGTATTGCAGTTCAGCTTTGCTCTCAACCAGAACTCATAACATTCTTGAAAATTTAACAATTGGTTCTAGCATGCTGGTATGAGCAGCCTCCAGCACATCGGACCATCATTCTAAAGGCAGTCTCCTATGAGTTTTTCAAACAATATCATTCAAGTATTTTTTTAAGAACACCTCCTCCCTTTTAAAAGCTCTTAGGGTTCAATCCTTGAAGACAAATTCTGCTTCTAATCATGTGCTGTATGCCATGCAATCTTCTCCTTGTATAGCAGCCATCCAAATATTTCAGGCACTGTCTGTGTCCATCAAAGGATTGGCTATCTCAGCATACATCTTCATGTGTGCCTTATATATGACCCATTCCATGCTATTGAAAGTTCTGGTGTCCTGATGCTGTTAGACCTTCAAATAACCCTTACTATCGCCTCATGAGTCATATTAACTCATTCTTATTTTTGCAAACATTTATGGTAACATAAAACTGATATACTTTCAGAGGGACCTCGATCTGCTGATCTGAACTCAATTCCCTTCAGCCCAATTTTTGGAGGCAATTCGCCTAATCGACCGTTTACACACTACCCCTTTTCAAAATGTCCAAATGTTTCTGAGATGGGGGAGGTATATATGTGTTAAGGACATATTGGAACAAAGGTTTGTAGTTGGCTTTGCTGATTAAGGTTGATTGAAAGCAGCTGTAGACCTCACTGCCACATGGGCTTCCAAACATTTCAAAACTATCTCTGTGCTGTCAGAACTATCAAGGCCAAACTTTTTTTTTTTTAAACCCACTGGTGATGAAAGCAAGTAAGCAAAAAAGCTACTGAGGTCATTAACAGAGCTATAAAACTGTAATAATAAGTAACAAGACCGGGACAGGAAAAAGAAACCAATTCTCTTAGACAAGAGATAAAAACTGCTTCACCTGTTTCTCCCCCTCCCTCCAAGAATGAATGGTAACACATGCTCAGATACCCACACACATGGCCTGTCTTGAAATAAAAGTTGGGAACCTTTAAAAGGATAAGCAACACTTACTGTCTCCACTGCCCTGAGCCCACTCCTCAAGTTGCCAATTTCCTTCTCCAGTTCAGTCATACTGCCAGAAATAAAGGAAAACATTAAATTTTCAAGCTGTTCCTACCGTAGCAAAATTTTATAATGTAGCTCTGACACCATCCGTACTGACTTTCCTTTGACTGGAGGGGAAAAAAAGACTCTTATTTTTAGATTAGCATCTTATCTGTAGCAATTTAGCACTGGCACATGTTGAGGAAGACAGCCTTGAGGTTAAAACTGGCACTACTCATTTACCAATGTAAAATAGAAACTCTTTCTGAAAGTAAAAGTACTCCAAAAGGTTAGGACAATTTCTACTCTACAATTTTTTATGTATTCTAAAACCAGTCCCAGCAGCCCTTCTGTGAATTGACCCAATCTGAAAAACACCTTTTTTCTTTTGCTACTTACTCTTCTTGAACCTGAGAACACTTTTTGCTATATTACCTAAGTTCATACAAAGACATTAGCAGTAATACCAGTTTCCTAAGTGCACACTTACTTTACTTTGGCAGCTCTTGGGACATCTTTTAATTCTTCATGTAGACTGAATACTTTGGGATATTTTTTTTCTATGATTGTGATGAGATAGTGCAGCAAGGTAATGTTCCTGTGATAAAGACAGACGACAAATAATAACATGAACACTATTTTTCAACAAAGAGAAAGTAAGTGGCATTTAATTCACCCCAAAGAAAATAGCTATACCTTTCCAGAGTTCAGGTGAAGATTTCAATACTGTGATAACACACAATGATCAACCAGGTCCACTTTGGACTACAAAATACTTGCTTCTCAATAGTTTGTATTCTGAGATATGCTATCTGTGTCAGAGGGCAGCACATAGTTGTTAAGAATAGTAACTACTGATAGCTCTGTCCTCCGTGAATTTTTCTAATTCTGTTTTAAAACTAACAAGACTGGTGGCCAGTGCTACATTCAGTGGCAAGAGAATTTGACTACATCAAATTTTACAGACATTCAAAACGTGGGTTCAAACATCGTATTTAGAAGTATTTATGCTTCAGCTGTTTCCAAGCAAAAAGCTGCCTTCCTCACACAATTCTTTGCCTCTCATGAATGCTAAAAATGTCTCCATCCATATTGTATTAGGGTTGTCATCTAGCTGCCCTCATTAAGCTTCTTCAATCCCTATTGGGGGGGGAGAGGAACAGGAAGATCTACTGCCTGGTCACTATAGTATCTGTAGAACTTGATTTCTTATGCTGTGGTGAAGGGAGAACTTTTATTGTTATCTGAGGTTCATTCTGGTTTGTGGACAAGACAATGCTATCCAGCATAAAACTGTCCTTCCTGGATCCTCTATGTGGCTGAGTGTATGTGCTAGAACTAAGAGGTTGTTAGTACTTCTTTGGGGGAGGGAGTATTCTGGCTGCTTTAAAGGAGGTCCTGTGCTCCCCCTTCTGAGGAGACTTTTTTTTTTAAAAAATCCAGCTTTATTAGATAATAATAATCTGCTCCCCAATCGTCTCCTTTTTGGGGAAAGTTCTTGTCAAGGTAATGCATCTTCAACTTCAGTGTGCTCTAGAAGAAGCAGATTATCCAGATTCTTTTAAGACACAGTACAGGCATATGCATGGAATTGAAACAGAATTGGCCACTCTGGTGGATGAACTAACGGTCTTATCAATTATTGTTCCTGACTAATTGTCTCATGGCATTTGACTCTCTGGAGTCCTCGGTGCTCTCTGCAAACTGCATTCCCTACTATCACTGATGATGTTGCCTAGTTTGGTAATGAAACTTCTACAAGAAAACCATCAAGCTCAGAGAGCAGCAAGGACTCCACAGTTCAACCTGAGCTACAAATATTCTATCAGTATTTGACCCTACTGACCATGATATTCTCCTGGACCAGGGGTTGGCAACCATAAACACTCAAAGAGCCACTTCGACCTGTTTCCCACAGAAAACACTGGGAGCCGCAAAACTCTCACGCGCATGTGCGCATGCACCAGAGGGGGGCTTGACTGAAGAGTTTAATTAAAAAGAAATAGAGGGTGCTGTGCATGAGTTCTCTCTCTCTCTCTCTCTCTCTCTCTCTCTCTCTCTCTCTCTCTCTCTCTCTCTCTCTCTCTTCCTCTCTTTCTCTCCTCTCCCTCCCTCTCTCTTTTCTCTCTCCCTCTCTCTCTCTTTCCCCTCCCTCCCTCCCTCCCTCTCTCTTTCTCTCTCTCTCTCTCTCCCCTCTCTCTCCGATCTTCTGCTCATCTGGCAAGCTGGTTTCACGCTGTTCTCCAACAAGCTGACACACATTCTTATTGGGCTGGCTCTCTCCTGCCCTTCCTGCTTCCTGCAGAGACGCAGCCACACACACACACAGAGAGAGAGAGAGAGAGAGAGAGAGAGAGAGAGAGAGGGAGGGAGGGAGGGAGGGAGGGAGAAGGGAAGCGCAAGTGCCTCTCTCTGTCTCTGTCTCTCTCTGCAAATGGCCGACCCGTGTCCTGGACCAACTGTGCATGTTGGGGATAAGAGGCATTGTTCTACAGTAGTTACATTCTAAAGTAGTAACAGTAGAACTGAAGGAAATTTAACTCTGTTCTCTGTGGATCTTGTGTTTCTACTGTTAACATCTACTATAAGATCACTGGAAGATGTCATACATAGGATGAAGTATTATACTAAATGTACCACTCTGTAACTCCCCATCCTAGACAGAGCTGGAAATATGGAACATTTGACCAGATGCCTGGAAGCTTTGATGGTCTGGATCTTATTCTATCCATTCTGATTATTATGCTGGACTACATGGTAATCTCCTTGAAAGATGAGGCCTGTAACCAAGTGTCCTCCTGGATTAACAGTTACTGCTGAAA